ATATACAGGAACCGCAGTCATTTGTTTCGGTTGAATCTCAACGTCCACTTTAAGTAACAGCCGCAATTTGTTAACCTCTTCTTTGTTAAAGATTAAAGAATTTGTAGTTTTTGTGATAATTATTCCGGGTTTTTCTGTAAAACTGTGACCAACTAATACGGGATATTTAATAATGCCGTCTTCAACTATATAAACGTCGACTGTCTCTACGATATCATTAATGTCTATTTTCACGCGTGCCGTTCCCATTGGTACGACTATATTATTGCCTAATCCTCTCATAACGGGTAACTTGTCTACTGACCAAGTAATTCCTAATGATTTTGCTACGCTATATTGTATCAATGTGCACTGACTGCCTAAATCTACGTACCCTCTAACCAAAATACCGTTAACTTTTAATAAGACCATGTATTTCTCATTACTAGTATCATCAACATCGACCTTCATAACCTTCTTTTCTGTACTAGTATCCTTACTCTTTTCGTTGGGCAGTTGCGAGCAATCGGTCGTTACGTGGCCAAGCCTCTTACAAATGTTACATCTTAGTAGCTTTCGAGGACACCTATTACTGAAATGGCCTACTTCTTTGCAGTTAAAACAAGTTATTGACGTACTAGATTGTGGCCTAGATGTCTTAGAGTCATTTGCAATTAACTGCTTCGTGTTGGAGTTTGAGTTATTTGTTGGTAAGATCTTTTTGTCTTGGCTAATTTTAAACTTATCGAATTCGCGACTTTGTTTAATCGATTGAAAGTAATTAAGAACCTCTTCAGGCTCTTGGCACTTGGCTGCTTTAGCACCAAGTCTTAAGGAACGATCCTCAATGCCATAGAGTAGGCAATCAACTGCGCGTTTTCCGAAAATCTCGCATCGATTCAGTAGGTTTAATTTTTCAAAATAATATAATTCTAACGATTCACTGTACTTCACGCGTTTATTCAACATTTCGGTAAGTAGTTCTGCGTAATCGTCACTACTAGGAAAGGAATCAATTAATTTACTTTTCCACTCGGACCACGAAAATGACATTGAAGGCAACGCTTGGTACCATGTGCGAGCGACACCCGAAAGTCTAGGCAGTGCGTAATGAATGACCTGATCATCACCCCAACGGTACAACTTTGCACATTCGTCAACTTTATTAAGCCACATATGGATTGTCTGACCTTTGACCATTGGATCAAATTCAGGGATAACATTGCCTAGCAATGGAAATTTATTGCCTTCTGGCTTCGTAGCTGACAAAGATTTTAATAATTCGTTCAAAAATAATTGAGTCTCGCTATTAGCAAACATAGATTTGCTTACCTGGGTATTTCCGCGTGATTCATTACTTACTGTGGTGTTCGATGAGCTGCTTCGGCGGGGTGGCCCCCTCCGACTTCTGCTTCGTCGCGCGCGCCGCTCAGCCTCGTAGCTACCTTTCAGACTCCGCCGACGACGACTATCAGTCCGTGTTCGGGATCTACTTCTCTCGTCCTGTTCACTCTCATTCCGCTCCATCAACAGGTTTCGGCACGAACGACGCTCAGCTTCGCAGCTACGTTTCCGGTTTCGTTGACGCCGTCTATCAGTTCGTCTTCGAGGTCGACTCCTCCTACCCTGATCACTTGAATCGCTAGGCTTGCTTCTATGGTGTCTGCGACGTTTCTTCTTGCTCAAGCATTTCGCACTGGCTTCATTATCGTGGCGACGTTTGCGTTTCTCACTCAAAATAGGTGGAGTAAAACAGGACCGGCTCCTATGAGATTGGTTACAATCACGGTCCATAGCAATATTTTCCAAAACACGCGGGTTTCTTGTATTTTTCGAAACTCGTGGGCGTTTTGTATATATCCCACTTCTGAGTTGTAAGAACTCAATCTCAACTCAGAAATAAAACGATGATTATTTTGATATTCTTCGATATAATTTTCACAATAAAAATATGAACGTTCCGTTCAACGGTTCAAATTCAAGTGTCGTTCATAATCATATTTTCCAACTCAACCAGTTGAGGGTAACTCTTCATTCATTCATCTACCTTAACATTCGATTTGTCAATTATTACTTTATAGTGGCGGGTATCTGTTAATGTTACCATTACAAGAATTTAGGACTGTTTACATGGTTATGACAACTGACAGATACCTGCCACTTTACAAACAACAACAGTTGGGTATTGAGTGAATAATACTGTTAGCTTTACAATAGCATGATGTGTAGATGCAGCAACTTGTTCGTACACAATCAAGGTGCGCCGCGTCTCTCACGGACGTGCATCGACAACTAACCTACGACACAGTTACTCTGCCTATTGTCTCAGCTTCCTCACCGCTGGTTTTTGTCCATTCTTGGATCTTGAGTGAAAACTGTCGTAAAAACTAAATCCACACTCAGTTGTTACGTACAAGGTTACTCAATGTCATTTGGTATTATAATAAAAAAAAACTAGTAATAAATAGGTACTAGGTACACAAAATAATTGAAATATGCGCAAGTTTAATACAATTTTGTTAATTATGATACTTTTTTTGTGTAGAGAAACAGATTCGCGTACGGCAATTAAAATGTTCCTAAAGCGCAAAGCGTGCTACGTGAATTAATTGGCTACCTACTGAATTTCACGGGTAACACCATTTGCCGGTGGAAACTGCGCAAGCTACCGGCTAGCTGCTGCAGGAATGCATATACCTGTCTTTTGTTACAATTTACTGACCGGAATTTATTGTTAACTTTGTAGAAATAGCTCTATTAGTTTATGAAAATCATGCAGTAAAACGTATTTTATTTACAGACACATTTGTATTTTTCATTTTCCACCGGAAAACTTTGTGTGTAAACTATCTAAATCATGATGGTTACAAGGAATTATTTAATTTGAAAATTTAATCGGTATTGTACGTGTAATTTTAAAGAGAAATATTCATTACATTTAGCTATAATTTTTTTTTTAACTTAAAACTGATTTCAGATATAATTATGTATAAGATATAAGATAAATGCAGTAAATAATACATATATATGTATTACCACATATACGTCTTCTTGTATATCTTGTACGTCATCATTTACAGCAAAAAGGTTCAAGACAAAAGTGCCGATTAGGGCAATTTAACTCGTCGAGTACCGGTTTTGTAGACACAATTATAGAACAATAGGTTGCGGTCACCGGTGACCGCTTGGTGTTTGACAGTTTAAGAGACTGAAATCGCTTGCGTTTAGTTTTTATTCCATATTTAATAAATTACTGTTTATTTATATCTAGTATTAATTATCAACTTTATATTTCGGCAGAAATGATAGTCCAGTCTATTTTGTGCGCATGTTGATAAAACAACTAACATCATTGTCAATAATAACATCTCTTTTGTTTAGTAAAATAAATAAACCAAATACCTTTAATACCTATGAGTTGAGTAAGTACCTATGAGTGTAAGCGTGTCTAATCGCGTCTTTTGTTGGTACCGCTCGCGGCACGTCAGGTTCAAATCTCCATATTACAGTGAACGATCGCTGACGTTTTATTTGATTTCTCTTGGAAGAAAAACACCACGGTTAGATAGGTAAAAGTAAACAGGGTGGCTATTAACGAAGTCGAAAGTCCGGAACTGACTTAGATGGAGCGGCTCAGAGGCTGGGCGCTGGGGCCTTGGGCCACCCTGTCGCCGCAGGGTGAGCGCCTGCGTCCCACCGCACCGGCGCGTCGCCTCTACAAATACACCATTAAGCCGGCACATAAGAAAACTTTGTCAAGTAAACAAACCACCAGAGTAAACTATTAAACGAGCTAAGCTGACTGCTATGAACGAACAATTTCTTATCGATATCGCAATTTATAAACAAACAAGTTTGGAAAGAGTTGTCGAAGGCGAAATCACATTGAGTCTCGAAAATATCAAAAAAATGTGTATTAGAGAAAGTGCACCGTTGACAGGTAGTAACACGTGTGTCTCGCTGTCACGATGCGTCTCGTGATTCTCTTTATGATGACATACATACATGCATGCTATGCACATAAAATATTTGCGGTCATCAGCCTGCACTCCCGGTGTGTATTAAGATGATTATCGGTTTATATTATGTATGGAAATATATGAAAACTTGAACATGTTTATGATGTATAACAGCATTAACATGTAGGTCACTGCCATAAGCATAATTATGATTATAGAAAGTTCTGTTAATAAAAAATTAACACACTTAGTTTCATAGAACAACGAAAATAAGACAGTACTGTCTGAAGATATAGCAAAGTAATTTATTGCTATTTCTGTAGTGTAGGCTTTTATTAACTAAGCCAATAAGACTATTAGACTATTATCGAATAAGAAATAAAATGATAATAATGTTTATCTATGGGTTAACAAAAGGACCCCTTTTTAACCCATTTGCTAGTTCTTGAACAGTTAACCACAAACTGGTTACTTATTTTTCAGTGTCACAATATTATTGGTTACATTAAGTAGTAAAAACAACACTTGAGAAAAACAAAACTCTTAAGGACAATTGAGATCTAAGCAGCACTAATTGAAGACGAAACCCGAACTTGAAACACCAGCTATGAGCTATGTGCATTGGTCGGCAACACTGGTGTGTTTAAACTTCGTGAAACACATTACAGATATATATTTTTCAATCTGTATAATATAACTGCATATACAATTTACTTTACACATATTATGTACATAGTATAAAAACTACCTCAGTCGGATCATTAGCACGCGATACTAACTCAAGAAGTAATGATGCGATTTTCACAACCCTATTTTTTATTTAGAACAATAATTATTGTACAAATACAAGATTTCTATCAATGTTTTTTATTTTATCATAAATTATGTGTAGTATCTAGTAAGGACCATCAATGTTGTTTGTGCCGGTTGTTCGTACACACACTTGATACATTACAAGAAGTAGGTCAACGTACGCGACTAGACAATTTTCTGTCAAGCTTTACCTGCTAGCTTTTATTGTCATTGAAATACTTTTGTGAACTTATTTATTCGACAACTTACCATTTTGAGGAAAAATTCTGGACAGCCAATAAATAATCATACGATTTATGAACAGATCACTTTGTTCTAGCACTATCACTGTGTGTACGCTGTTATTTATGTAGTTCACGGGTAGGTTTCATCCTAGATCACAACAATTGAAACTCTCTCACTTTCGGCGTCAGGAACCGGTTACACACAGATCGAGCAGTGCAGGTCCATGTCTGCGCGGTGGATGCGCTCGCGGCTGTCGTCGGCGTCGGACTGGTGGCCGGCGCTAGGCCCCCACCAGTGTTTCCTGACCTACACCTAGTGGTTGCTGCCGCACCGGCTCCGGTAAACAAACGGTTCACCGACCGATTACACTTGGAACATCTTAGAGACGCAGAATCATTGCCAGCGCCTTCTGCCCGCCAGCAGCGCAGCGCCGCAGCAACACATTTGTAATTCAATGTGATAACGGTTCCGAGAGCGTTCGCGCGTTTAGTTCAGTTCCCGTTGATTCTGGGTCGTGGCACACTAATCGAGACCAAATCGTTCTGATTCCGTCGGATGGCCGCAGGTGCGCAGGCGGCTACTGCGTAACAATCCAGCTACTTCCGAACATTGCTTGCCACTTAGCTCAATTGTGCTGTGGTTGCATTGCACTTAAGGATTTGCATACACGAAAGAGAAAATACTTGTTCCGTATGTTACGCGAAAATATTTCGTATCCAACATGATTCATATTTTGCTTTCTTTTTGAAGAAATATACTAGTATTTATCTATTTAAAATGGAGTTTAAAGTGAAAGTTGAGACATGTAGGCAAAACTACGTGACAGTCGTTGGTTAATGAATGTAAAAATATAATTTGTAATGTTGAGTAGATTTTATCATATAGACAAAAAGTAAAAGTTTGCTTATCCCTAAACCTACAAAGATTTTTGACAAGATTAATTTATCATCATGATGAAAAGCAGTTAATCTCAATAAACCGTAGGTATGTGTAGTTGTATATATATTTGTATTTGTAATCCTTTGGTATAACTATGTGTCCATGTAAATCGTGATTGTACTTACCTTAAGGATAAGTAATGTAACCTAATTACCTAATGCATTCAGCGATTCACAGCTTGATTTCTGTAATAACTGCGAGTTTCGTTTAGGAGCTATAAAACTACGGTTATGAGAAAGCCTTATTATAACGCGCTAAGGTTTGACCTGATTGTTATCGACTATATTGATGTCACAGCGACTCGCCATTGCCTGCTGACACTTACGTTTAGTTTGTGCTATAACTTTGATCACTTGATTTGTTAATTCATTTGTAAGTTATTAACTTGCTTAGTATTGCAGTCCATAATGTGTAAAGTGCGAAGTAGAGTTTCCTGTTGCAAATGGTATATCTCAACTATTATAGGTTTGAATGACTATAACAATATAACCTTCCCCTTTTTGTTGTTAACAGAGTTGCAGACGGTATACCCAACGCACGAACATGTTTGCTTCATCAAAAGCTGCAACTGCTAAACTGTTGTATTAAGCGAGCTTTGGACGGCACTGGCAGTGTGGCGGGGAATTCTTCGGAAGACGAATTCTTTGATTGTTCTGAAGGAGAAAATGAAGAACAGTTGCCCTGGGACAGACCAGTCGGGCGACTCAATAAATTTGGTGACGCCACACTAAAAAACGGAGCGCCTCTCTATATTCCCCGTACTCAGGTGTGTATTTTTAAAACGCCAAGTATATTTATTTGATTAATGACTAAAGTTCAAAATGTTTATTGTAGTTCCATTGGTCTTTGTAAATTATGCTTGATTATAAGGAAGAAAGTGTTTTGCATATCTATCCGTTACTACACAATTATTTAATGAGGTTATCAACTAGAAAGTTATCAGAATTAGCAAAATTAACTGTTGGTTGATATTGATTTAAATAACTTAAATTGCCATAACTTAACGTTTGCATATTTTATCTTTGGAATGTAGGATCCTGCACCGAAAACTGAAGACCAGTTAGAAGAAGACGCAGAACTAATGGTGCGTCTCGGAGATGACGCGAAAGCGTCTGAACTTCGGGCTAGAATGATGAGTGCTTCGCTTCTCTCTGATATGGAGGCATTTAAAGCGGCCAATCCGGGTGCCGAATTATGTGACTTCGTACGTTGGTACTCGCCGCGAGACTGGAAACCTGACGATGGTGGTGCACTAGGAGACCGGATGTTATTACCCGGGAACCCCTGGGTGGAGGCATGGAGTGTCGCACGGCCTGTGCCAGCAGCTCGTCAGCGCAGGCTGTTTGATGAAACCCGCGAGGCTGAGCAAGTATTGCATTTCCTAAGGTCGCGAACTGTCAGTGCTGCCACTGAATTATTACTGCCGGCTATTTTACGAGCTGGTGCAGCTAAAGCACACGAAGAGGGTGTACCATGTGCTAATTCATCAGTCGGTGGAGTAGACACTAGACGGACATTTGAAATAGCGGCTCGAGAACTATATGATGCCGAGAGGGAAGCTTGCAGATCCTTGTGCTTGCGGACTGTGCTTGGCAGTAGCGAGGAAGGCAAGCCGCTGGACGTGGCTGGGCGCAACAGGATACTGTCGGCGGCAGGCGGCGGGCTGCCGGCGGCGGCGCGGCGTGAGTTCACGCTGCGCGTGCGGGACAGCGTGGCGCCGCAGGTAATGCGCACTGCGTTGGCCACCGACATGACCATCATCGGCGTCTTCACAGAGCGCATCGTGTGCTTGTAGCAGTGCTCGTACTATTACCGCGCCCGCTGATGTTAGCATCGGCTTGACTGTGCTAGTGAATGTATAAGTCTTGGTGACAATGTTTGTTAATTGAATGTAAGATGAATTGTTGAATTAGTTTGTAGGTATATTCATTTAGCCCATGTTTTGGTTGAAGTTTGAATACGTACATATGAAAGCATGTGATTTGAAAGACCTTGTTAAAATATTTTGTCTACATCAGTTAATTAAATTCATGTTAATTATCTACTTGTAATTATGTTACTTATAACTTTTTTACTTTATTATAGTTATACCTCTATCTGTAACTTGCAAGTTTATACAGTGTCAAGAAATACAGGCGCTTCTCAATGGTTAACTGGTTAACTTTTCATTCCATTATCTTGATAACCTGAATAAATCTAAAACAATATGTTAATCACGTGGGAAGAGGTTTGTGTCATTACACGGCATGTAGGTACGATGATAAATAGGAACTCGTTCAAGATCACAACACTTATTATAATAACTGAATTTAAACTGTCAAACACCAAGCGGTCACCGGTGACCGCAACCTATTGTTCTATTTGTGTCTATAATGACGATGCTTGACGAGTTAATTACATTTATTTTATTTTGTAAAGTCTATGGTAAGTACAATAATAATTCGTGTCAGCGTTGTTGGGAGGTAATGCATTTTAGACGTCGAGTGATGACGTAGCGCGTAGCACAACAAAATAGATATAAGATATTACATGGCCAAGCAGCTCAAGGAGAAATCTAGTTCATTTTTGAGATCATAATTATTATGATGTAAAGACAAGGAGTAACTATGAGCAATAGTAACTTAGTAAGTGAGGGGACACCTTTACGATACCGGATCATAAACACTATTCCTGATACGATACGTAGGTACTATAAGTTACACTTGTTTACGGTTTACGGTTTGTAGTTACTAGTTGATTAAGTAAGACAGAATGTACAGATGGACGCCTCCGTCTTACAGAAACCGATGACGTCACATTTATGATTGTTGTCCTATCACTGGCCACTCAATGCAGTGTCCGTTGATAAGAGCGCACACGCTGCTTATTGCTATACGCAGAGCGCAGGAACGTGCGGCGCGAGTGTGTGAGCGAGTAATGTACCGCTCGCAGCGTGCTGGAGGAGACAGGCGTGGGTGGCGCGCTGCACGCATGCGCGAGACTGCCGCGGGCCGGGAGCCTCGCGAGATGCCTCAGTGGCGCGGCGGGACGCCCGGTCGATTCCAGGGCGCGCGCAAACACTCATGTTTGAACACGGTATCATCCGTAAATTTCACTGAAAATATACATCGCAATCTGTCGAAAATCTTAATCCGTCTATAGTGACTTTTTTCTCGAATTGATATTGTCTTAATTCGATTGTTTAACTAAGTTAGATAATACAAAATTTCATCATATTTTCGGCATCTTATAAAAAAGTCATGGAACATATCTGGACATCTGCTTTCATGTGATTAATAAGTACACCGACGGAATGTGTAATTGATGTGTAGATCAATGTCAAATGTTCCTTGTGACAACTTCTAATTCATAAATATTGAAACTCGAGTGTTAAATACTGTTGTGTTGTTATAGTTATGAACAAAATTATTATAGATTTATTATGTAAATAGTGAATTGCTGTACAAACCTGTGCCATGTCCTAATTATTTATCGAAGGAAAAAGCAATAATGGTCGCCGGTAAAATATCTTCGATACTTCTATCTGTGGTAAGTTATTCATCATTTGTTTCTCAGACTTTTTCATAAAATGCGTATAAAATACTTGTCTTGATGGTAGAAAGGAAACACTGATATAAATATGAACGTTTTTATTTTTTTTATTTAAGTTTATTGTTGTAAATACAACTCGAATTTATGTAGTCGAAGAAGTGGTCAACTTTATTGCGAGAGGCGAGAATCTAGCCGAGTGCTCCGACACCGGCGCGGCGCGTTAACCGCGATGAGAACCATTATCGAGTTAGACGCGACAAATATTGGCAATTCAATAATAATAGGTAGCTACTAGTACACATCAAAATTGAAGGACACTAGTCGATAGTCACTGATCTTATTTACTTTGTTTATATACAACGATAAAGGCACAGGGAGATAATGACATTACTACCATTGTTTGCTTTGAACTGAGCATTTGAAGAATCTCCCGAGGATTGACAGATACTTTTAATTGAGGACCTGGGTTTAGTTAACCCCCCGAGAAATTAAGAACCAAGTAACTCAACAGATTCCATACCCCGCTAATATAGTAGGTCACACGACGACTATCACGTGGTTATTTATAAAATTATACACTTTCAAGAATGTTATGGGGAAGTGTTACAATATTTTACTCGAGAGATTGACGTTTGTTTATATTTTGTTGTAAAGCGAGGGAATGCTGAGGAACTTTGTGTGTTATTGAATTAAAGGTATGGTTTGTTGTCGTCGACCCCGTTTAGAGCCGTCTTGGCCCCAGCCTTGGTGACGTGAAGCATGCGCGTATGTTAAATGGAGCGATGCTGGCGTCCTCCATGTCCACTGAATGGCTCTGAGCCTCTGAAGCTATTATAAATAGGCAGCCCATTATACAGTGTGCGCTCGACTGGGCAATGAATAGACTTCATACATTCTGCTTTGTCTCCGGGAAATAAGTTTTCTAAAGGTGATCGAAATCAAGGACGAACCCACGGTCACAAGTCTATTTTTATACTTCGATTATTTATTAAAAAATATACAATATAGTTTATATATATATAGCTATATAGGTAAGTTTTATGCCTGTCATAAAAAAACTACCCACATAAATAAAATAATGGGCAATATCTATAATATTAAATGTAATACTTAAATATATATAGAAGCTATAAATAAAAGAGTTCCTTGGCTCCCAGGTGTGTCAGTTAAAAAATTGTTAAGTACTGAAAGCTATCCAGACTTCTAAGTTATTGTATATCTATAGACATGAGTTTGCGGCTATTGGAAAATATCTAGATTGAATGTCAAAGCAGCTGTATAGATATACCTACATTAACGAACGAATTTGCTAATTGTTAAAATGGAGAGCGTGTAAATAGGTATAGTAATACATACACAGGCCGCAATTTCCTGTAGAGACCTACAAACTAACTAATTCATTACATATCCTCAATGGTTTCCCTGTAAGTACGTATGACCTAATCATATCGAGATACGGACTGACCTCGTCTCATGCCATTATTTCTGTTATCTTAAGTAAGTCACCACTAAATGAAATTGTTTGTTAAGTTGTTATCTGTTATTAGTTCAAATTGGGATCACTTAGCCGGTATCACAACGCCGACGAATTTAAAACTATATCTAAGTACTGCTTCACAAATGATGTTATTAATTATTTTATTTTTATTCTGACTGCCTCGTTGGCTGAGTGGGCGCGGGAAGGGGTCTCGGGTTCGATTCCCGGATAGGGCAAAGAACTACTAGGTTTTTTTTTAATTCTCGGTAATAGCACGGAGTCTGGAATTGTGCCCCGTGCTACTACTGAGATTTTTTTAAAAAGCTCAGTAATGTTTTGCCGGACCCAGGAATTGAATCCGAGGCCCCTTGCCCGGCAGTCGCAATTGTGACCACTTGGCCAACGAGGTAGTCAGATAAGATATTGGCTAATATTTTCTCATTTTATATTTAATAGAAATTTATATATTAACACTGTAAAGATTTCTCCGTTTGGTAGATACGTGTACGATAAATAACTTATACACAGAGTTAAATAATTATTTTTGTGTCTGATAGTCAGTAGTGGTCGTCTAGTAGTCGAGCAGCGGGTGAAACCGCGCGGAAGTGCCAGTTTATTATATAGGAAGGTGATACATTCGTGAATTTACTTAATAAAAGTCATCTAGGAATTTATCCGGTCGTAAACAATATAAACTAAACATGTTATACTAACGTTTTGCAATCTTACTAATATTATAAATCGGAAAGTGAGTTTGTTTGTTTGTTTGTTCCGATTTCACGCCGTAACTAGGTACTAAACCGATTGCTTTGAATTTTTGCAGACGTAAAGTTAGAAGTCTGGATTCAATAATAGGGTACTGTTTATCCCGGAAAAATTTGATATTCCCGAGGGAAAACAAAAGTATTGGTATAGATGGCGGTGTATGTATTGGTATATGTCACATAGGCTACTTTCTATCCTTTTGAGACGCGAGCGAAGTAAAAGCTAGTATTATATATGCGGTAATAAATCGGCGTAGTAGGTAAGGTACCTACATATTTAGGTACTTATATTAATTTACTGATACAAATCAAGTAACTTCATTCCAAACAGCTCGTGCAAAACCGCATTTTAATAGATAACCGATAGATAGATATACATTAATGAACTTACGCAGTTTCATATTCAGGTATAAATATACAGGTCGCTAGTGCCATGGAAAACGTTTTGGACAGTTTTATATTTGTCTTACAAAATTAAAAATGTTGCCACGATATTTTTATCATAAGTAGGTATACGTAGAAGCAAAATATCGTTAGCCAAAAATAAACAATGTAATGATCCTCGGCCTCAGCAAACTGTGTTATGAATGTAGTAGTGTTGAAGAGAAGCGATAGTGTAGTTCTAAATAAGAAATAAAATAACTGCGAGAAAATAAATATCAACTAAGGAATTTAATAAATTCATTCTAGATTTTGTGTTTTTACTAAGAGTTTTTAAGATACAAATAATATTTTGTCCGACCTGGCAATCTAATCCAGTCAAAATTCAATTAAATATAAAAATTGTGAACTTGTTATTCGTTAATTTGTTAAGTATTGAATCTGTGAATGTGTGAATTTGTCAAGTGTAAGTACATACCTTTACTCAATAAATACAATGAAATTAAATCATACTTATTTCCAGTTTATTTAACTTATGTATTGATAATTTTGCACCAAGCCTGAAATCGTGTCTTATGGCTCACCCCTATTAAGATGTCAGTAATAACATAATTGACAATTAACGAAGTTTGAGGATTAAGCAGAAGACTCAAACAACCGGTAAAAGTGAGAGATCATTAATGGTCTGGTGTTAATTTGAAGCCAGAATATGATAAGGTTTGGATGTCTGATGGATATTGGTGTGATTAGTTTTATTGATTTGTATTTAGAGTCTTTAGTTCAGCATACCTATAAGTAAACTTAAATTCTGACGCTCGATATTTGTATAGATACTAAAGCTGTTCGCTGTATCAGCTTATCTGCATATCGGATATGCCATTTTCAATGACATATCGATACACATGCTCCCTTTGAAGTTTGCAATATATTTATAATGTAAACAATACGCGGCAGTAAGCTTGCGGCTAACGGTCGAGCTACATTCTACGCTGTACACCGCGAATAATTTACGATCGCATATAAAAATATCGGTTTACGTTGACCAGGTGGCCACAAATGCGCCAGAGAAATCGTAATTCAACGTCTTACACTATCGTTTGTTGCGGACTGTTTACTTCAATAGTGTGTCTGTCCTTTGGCTACTTACATGCACATGTAATTACTGTAGGTATAGCTTCTTTGAATCCGGCAGTTGGGACTCGAGGTGGCGCTCCACAAGTCCGAGGCCATGTGTTTTCATGGCCGCGGGAACGCGCCACCTCCGGGTGGGTCCCAAATAACGGCGGGAGGAGTTACCATCGGCGTCGAGACGACGATGAAGTACCTAGGACTCGTCCTCGACAGTCGGTGGAACTTCATTGAACACTTCCGACGTTTGGCTCCAAAGTTGG